CGCCGCGGATCCAACCCTTTGTTGTTTGACTCTCGCGAAGTCAACCCGACCTACCTAACACCGAGAGACGGATGAAAGTATATTCAGGATGCAAGGCAGGGCGCTTCTCAAACTTGACAAATGCTATAAGGGTCTGAAGCCGCGCAACCCGCAAGTCGCTGGTTTGAAGAACCTTATCTTATGGCCCTATTGCTTTTAGATACCAGAAAATAGGTAAGATGTATACTTTCATACACTTTATAGACTTTCTTGTCTTAGGTGTCCTCACAAATGTATATTTTTAGCATGTAAAAAGCTGCATTGCCTATTGCAGGAGCTGTAGTACTGGTGGTGAGGGTGGCTGTTGTGTAGGGGGAAACCGGCGGTCTTTTTTGTCCCCCGAGTGGCTAGCAAGCAGGCTTGTTATGGTTGCTAGACGTCTTCTGCTAGAGATTGACCGTCTTCTATTATAGGACTAGTTCAACAGACTACACTATACCTTATATAGTAGCTGCAATACCTTTTCCCGTTAGCTCCAAAGTTAGCAGATGTTGGATCTGACGAGTGGCTACGGTAGACCTCCTCTTATTTCAAGGTAAATGACTTGAGCTCTGCCATGGGCAAGTATCGCTATTTCTAACTGAGGGATGGTTGTTCTCTTGGCCTATCACAGCTGCTCTGTCTGTCCTTGGCCGGATGTACTCTCCTGGCCATCTACCACGCACACGCGCCCACACAGCACACACCTCTTATTATGCAAGTAACCCATTCAAGGACCCTCCCAACAGCCAGGGACACATGCTTGTATAACATTCGGCCCCTGTGCGTCATGCATGCGCCATTAGGTCGAACAGCTTTTTCGGGCGAGGTTGTTTGAGACCATGTCTTGGACCTGATTGGCCAGGACGACGGAGCGCTTCCGGTGTGTGGGTTCAAGTTGATTGGCGGTCTGCAAAGTTGCCGGAACTTTCAGCGCAACAGCGTCTCATTGGATGCCCCTTTTTCGGCTACATAGTGTTGTGAACGTGTGTTAATTTCATGGTAGACTTGGTGGAACTTTCTAACCTTGCCCACTAGAGTTTTGCATACGGTGACAATGACAACCCGGAGATCCATCAGCTCAGCACTTATTGCATAGCGTCAAAGGGGGGTTTTCCTCCCTTATGCGTCATCATTAGTTTCTTTTATTCCAGTATACCGTTTTGTCCTTATAAATTGGTTTCTACAGTTAGGCCAGCCAACGTCAGGTTTAAAGCACCATACTGTCTCAGAAGGTGCTCTTGACCTACAGTCTATAGCCAAGGTCAAACTTTGATTGCTAGCTGCGAACTTAGTCAATAGGGTGGTTGGATAAACCCATGCATGGTTTTATGTTTTTTTCTAGAAACCTTCTATTATCCTGAGTTAGAAAAGGTGCTACAATAACCAGAAAACTGATCTCGTGCTAAGCCGCTATACTTACCTTGAGCTCTTCGTACAAAGCGTGACACGCACAGAGTGTGCTCGATATCCATCATCGTCTGCCTCTCACGCTCTCTGTAAATGGAACGACCGTTTGGGAAAGCATTAGTTTAGTCCAGAACGAAGCGAGGAAAGGCAGACAAAGTAAAATAAGTATTGCCACGACCGGTAAAAGAACATAGGTAGGATTTGCTATCAACACCTTGCTAAGAACTAACGGTACCTGAAGAGAATAGAACACTTTCATATCCTTCGTATGTCTCCTGCTGCCTGTTACACCGGCCCCGGGCCTGTACTTTACCAGCACTACGTAGTGCTCGATAGCGGACGCACACCCGCTATATGGAATCCCTGGCGAAATTTGAAGATCAGGGAACTCATCGACACAGCTACAGCAGTGACATGCTCTTTGCGCGCTTATTTGACCGTGGAACCAATGGGCCCAAATCGGATGTTGGAGTACGTGACCGTAGCCTGGAATGACGTGCATTAGCTCTGCTCAGCCGACAAACCATTCTATCGGGCATCTGAATATTCAGAGGCTACAACTTACGCTAGCTAGACGAGACTCAACATCGGCCGGGACGCCGGAAGTGGTGGGGCAGTCGCCGCGAGCGGCTCCAAGCTGGCCGGCCTTCTCGGGAGGGTAGGTAGAGTCGAGCCAGAGCATGTTGGCGTAGTGGTCGTCCCAGAGGGACATAACGAGCACCCATTTTCCGTCAAAGGCCGAGTTCAACTTTGACCAGCCACCAACCTCGGAGAAGCGGTCGCGGTCGCCAAAGACCTTGAACTGGTTGGCGCAGAAGTCAGGAGTCACGGCGTTCCCCGAGACGCCGCTGACGGTCGAGTTGGGCATGTTAATCTTGGCGCCGTTCTGGACGAAGTATTGCTGCACTTTGTTGCTGGAGAACTGGGTGACGACGCTAACACACGTTTCGAGGTTAGTGAACATCGGTTCAGTATGCGTGTCTATTCTAATTTTTAACTTCACGGCTCACGCCCCCCCCCCTGTGTTCGATACCTGGCTTTTTATACTCACGTGAACTTCTTGGAGGTGTCGACTGTCTTGCCCTTGCCGTAGAAGTTGGTGACGCCCATACGGTAGGGGTTGAAGTCGCAGCCGTTGGCGTCGCAGTCGCCGGCGAAGCGGTCGTCCGAGTAGGTTCCACCGCAGCCCGACTTCTCACAGACGTGGTACGCGTTGTTCTGGCACGGGTGAGGGGTCACGGCGAAAGCATGGGCATTGGATTCTAAACGATGGTCAGCGGTGGTCGTTTCATGAAGGAGCCAACAACACGAGCCGTACCCCAAACGTCCATCTCGGCGCAGCAAGCACCGTACGGGCCGACACCCGAATTGGCATCATTGGATGACGATACCCAGCCCTCAACGTTGGCCTTTCCGCCGACGAACTTGAGGTCGCGGGCACACTGAGCATCGCAGTATCCGGTACCGTATTTGGCACCCGCCTTGTTGGTGGGGTACTTGGCCATACCGCCGTCCTCGTCCATCTGTGCCCAGTCAGTATCCGATTATGGTCGCTTGTTGCTACATCGCCCGGTGAGGTTGGACTATGCTGTCTCGTTGCTTCGCAAAACAGCCATTGCGAATGGGGGTGACAGGTGAACCGACCTGGACAAAGTACAAGGCACCATTGAGACCGCAGTCAAGCTGGGACAGGTCGACGTCGAATGCCAGCTCGTTGCCTGTCAACGTGAACATTTCATACTTGGAGACGCTGTTCATGAGGTAGAGACGGGATCCTATATTCTTGCCGTAGGCGTGCTGGGTGACGAACTTGAGGCTGAGGGCGTTGCCCGAGGTGGTAGCACCGTAGGTGCCGGAGTAATCGGCGCCTTCGAAGGCGCATTTGGACGCGCAGTCGGTGGCGGTGGTGCACTTGCCTGTCCACTTGTTGCCGTCGTAGCAATTGGCGGTGCCCGAGGTCTCGTGGAGCCAGCGCCAGTTGGCGTCGATGACGACCTCGCCGTTGACGGAGGTGCAGCTGGACAAGGTGCACCTCTGCCAAGTCAACTTGGGGTGGGTTTCGACCTGCTGCGTGCCGACCTGCTGCGCCGAGACGGCCGCGACGGTCGCAAGGAGGAGTGAGATGGAGATCATGGTGCGATGTATGTTCAGATATCAAATAATGTTCGAGTGATGGACTCGAGTATGAAAATCGAGAGCTTTTACCTCTTGCCCTTTATCGTCTTTATATACTCCTACATTCGATCTTCTTGAATAGATCAAAACAAGGAGGTCTATGTTCCGTTCATGAATGTTCCTCACATGTATCCGTCCCATTCTTCCTCACAGCGGAGCGTTCCCCCAGTCTCGATACTGCCACGAACGGTGGGATCACCAATCTCTGGTCCGCGGAGCACTGCATCCGTAGGCAAGGAAATATTATACATCGTTCCAAATAATTAATCAACCGGATTCGTTGCTGATTTGGGACCCTCGGCCATCACCAGACAGCGCCAGAGTTTTGTGTGGTCATTCCGTAGCAAAGATAGGCCGCAGGCAGCCGTTCGTCGGAACCAATATAGCATTCATTTATCCCGATAGGTGAGGAGTACTAGACTCGTGTCTACGAGGAGGCTAGAATGCGATCAAAATTCAGACGATAGTATAATATACGGCTCTATATGCGCCGCCGCAGTATGCAACGCACACAAAGGGACCGGGCTCGGGTATTATCTTTACCCCGCTGTGACTGGAATGTTCCCCCGGCCTAGCGATGACATTCTGTCTCATCGGTGAGCTACAGGAACCATGTAAGCCTATCAATGGAGATGACAATCCTACTTAGTCGCACTCATCATGGAAAGAAAACATCTCCCGTTGGCCGTTAATTTTCTGTTCGGTAAAGGCTACAGCATGCTTTAGTTGAAAATGGCTGGAGATGCAGTTCGTTATCAGAGCACGTCAAAGTGGCCAACACATAAGCATGGGCATCAAGGCCAAGACGACGTTGCGCCGTGGGTAGCTCCATTTGCCGAACTTGGTCCCGGATGACACCCTAGTCCGGGGTAAATTGTCACGGAAAGCCGGTAGTTGACGTAGCTCACGCCCAGGAACTCGACCAGCCGGGAGGATCAGGTTGGATCAATGTGCCGAGCAATCACATTGGCAGGCAGAGGTGGGGTAATCGGAGGGTATACGACCTTGATCCAACGTCAATAAAGGACGATTGGCTGTCTGATATTGGAGCTGTCCAGGTGAGCCACCCGTGGAACAACAAGACGTAAAGGATGAAAAGCCGACGTCGTCTTGCCAGTGCTGGCCCGGGCGAGCGACGACAAATAGCGAAGCTGCCATGTCGCATTTGCCGCAACAGTCCGATGGCCGTTTTGAATGCCAGTCTCCCGGAATGTCAGATTCCGCGTCCTCCCTGGATGTTTCTGGGCGCGTTCCAAAGAAGACGGGCATTCCAATGAAGCTCAGAGGATGGCACAATAGGGGAGAAGGCATCTATAATCGAGGTCAGGGAGATTCGACTGGCGAGGCTTGGCAACTGAGGGCTAAGTGTGTTGCATAATCTAATAGTCTTTCAACAGACTTGTCGCGCCTCATTGACGTCATATCTTGGCTACATGCAGCTTGTCGGCAAGAAACAGTGTGCAGCCATCCATCGCCATGTCGGGGGATCAGACTTCAACATGACTCTAGTCCAGAACCTATGTAGCTTTGCTAAGAACGTCTGGACCAGGAGCTAGCTAAACAGGGTCGAAGCAGTAACCTTTTCCAGGAAAAGATACCGGTAGTGTCGGGTGCCCGGAGCGGGGCCCCAGGGGGGCACCAGAGTGGGACCAGGACCAGATAAACTAGTCACTAAAGGAATAACAAAAAGGGAAAACTTTATAAAAGATAGGGGTTAGAGGAGGTATATAGGAATAATTATTATAATTAAACCCTAACTATACTTATTACTAACTTTTTTACTTAATACTATTTTTACCTTTAATATATTCCTATATCTTCTTATCCTTAAGTATATTAACTACTAAAGTAGTAATAGTGCCTACTAGATCCTAAACTATAGCCTAGTAATAAAGGAGCACTATAATAAGATAACTAATACCTATATAACTAAGTTTATACTAGTAGATAAGTAGCGCGCTATTAACTTAAGTAAGCTATTAGAAAAAAAGCTAAAGGCCTTTTTAGAGAAAAAAGTAAAAAAAGTAAAAAAAAAAAAAAAATAATTAATTAAATTAAGGCCTTTTAAAGTAGTATATTTATAAAAGATATATAAAAAGAGATAAAAATAACTACTAATCTTTAACTAAAGACTAAGTAACTTTATACTAATATACTCTTAAAAAGATTACTTACCTTAAGGTATAAGAGGAAAAGCTAGAATAAACTATAAGAATTCTTATTTTAGTTAGAAATATATTTTAATATAGTAAAAGATAAATTTATAACTAATAATAATAAAGTAAAATATACTAGTGCTATACTAAAAAGTAACTTAGTATATAAATAAAGAAAGTATATAAGTTTTTATTATAAAAGTAAGATTAGTAAAGTGCCTTAAGAAGTTATAAAAGATTAGCTAAAAGTAAATATTACTAATAATAATATATAGGCTTTTAGTACTACTATAAAGCTAGATACTATATAATAAGCCTTAAGCTAGTTATACTAATAATTTATTAATAAGTATAAAATAGTTAAGGAGAAGTACTTTAACCCTTAAATAAAGAGGTAGTAAGTAGTTTATATTTTAAACTAAATACTTTTAGACTTAAGGACTTATATACTTACTAAGGGGCTACTAGCTACTTACTAGAAGTTAGATAATATAGTACAAAAGGTAAAAACACTTACTAAGACCTATATAAGAGAGGTATTAAGAGGATAGCTAAGGTAAGGTTAGGAGAGAAAAGGCTACTAAGAAGTAGTAGTATAGCTAATAACTATAAATACCTCCTTAACTAAAGCTACTAATATATACTTAATACTAATAGCTATAATACTAGTAAGTATACCTATATTAAAGCTAGGGGTTAAGAAAAAAAAAAGGTATAACACCTTAGCTAGAGGGGACCTAAGGACTACTTACTTATTATAACTATAAGAAACTTAAGTACTAGTTAGCTAGGTATAGTAAAAAGAAATATTATAAGTATAAATAACTATAATACTTAGGAAAATAGTATACTTTAGTACTAATAAGGGTTAATAGTATTAAGCTTTCTTAAGATAAAAGACTATACTACTACTTTAAGGTAGATTTCTATACTAAAATAAGTAGTATATAAAAAAAAAAGGTACTAATTAATCTTAATATAAATAAGAATATATTATACTAAAAGATATTATATATAAAAGTACTAGTAAAAGTAAGCTAGAGAGGCCTAACGCTTTAAGGTATATAAAGAAGTAAGGCCCTAGACTATAAAATAAAAAAAGTAGTAATAAAAGTTATAAATAATATAAAGGTCTTAAGGACGTAAAGCTATACCTTTTAAGTTAGTAATATAGCTAGGTATAACGCTATCCTAGGGATCCTTTAGGGATAAGTAGTATAACTAAATATAAAGTAGATAATAATTAGTTAGATATACTTACTAAAAAAAGACTACCTCTAACTTATCTAAAGTAAGTAGGAAATTAAGAAGGTATATAAGAAGTTAAAGGCTATTTTAGCCTATTAACTAATAATTTACTACTTATAATATAGAGAGGATAAAAAAGCACTAAAAATACCTTATTATAACTAAAGAGAAGAGGTAAAGGCTAAATAGGATAAAGAAATAAAAGCTACCCTACTAGAGGCCTATAAAGAATAAGTATATATATTTAATATAGGCCTAGTAGCCTAGCTAGTAAGTAATAAGGGCTACTTATATATAATTAATTTAAAGCTAAAAGTAAAAGCGCTATTTAGCCTTATTTACTTATTAGCTAAGAAAGAACTAAAGGAATTAAGGATATATATTAATAAGTTACTTAAGAAGGGCTAGATTAGATACTTTATAAGCCTAGTAGGGGTACTAATCCTCTTTATTCCTAAGAAGAGAGGTAAGCTATATCTTTATATAGACTATAAGGGGCTTAATAAAGTAACTATTAAGAATTATATACTACTACCTCTTATTAGTAAGATCCTTAACTATTTAGTAAAAGTAAAGTAGTATATAAAGCTAGACCTAAAGGATATATATTACTAAGTAAGGATTAAAGTAGGTAATAAATAGAAAATAGCCTTCTATACTTACTATAAATACTTTAAATATTATATTATACTATTTAGGCTAGTTAATATACTAGTAACGTTCTAGGTATATATTAATAATACCTTTACTAAGCTAGTAGACGTTATATATATTATTTACTTAAATAATATCTTAATCTTTATAAAAAATAAAAAAAGTTATATAAAAGTAGTTAAGTAAGTACTAAGCTAGTTAGACACTATAGGGCTATATATAAACCTTAAGAAGTGTGTTTTCTACACTTAGTCTATTAGGTTCCTAGGTTTTATAGTATCTAATAAAGAGATTACTATAAAGTATAAGTAAGTATAAGTAATAGTAAAGTAGCTACTCCTTACTAGCGTTAAGGAGATCTAGGTTTTCTTAAGGTTTATAGGATTCTACTAGTAATTTATTAAAAACTACTTTAAGATATATATATCTTTAATAGATAGGCTAATATCTAAGGTAGTAAGGGAGTAAGTAATAATATAGGAGGTAAAGGAGGCTTTTTATAAGCTTTACGCCTTATTTACTTAGGCCTTAATCCTTTAGTATTTTAACCTTAAGTTACTTATATAAGTTAAAATAGATATATCTAACTTTATAATTAGTATAGTAATATACTAGCTTTATAAAGGAGTATAACACCTAGTAGCCTTTATATTATAAAAGCTATAAAAAGTAGAACTTTATTATAAGGCACTAAAGGTAAAGCTACTTATAATCTATAAGGTAGTAATTTACTAAAGACACTACTTACTATATATATAATATTAAATAGTATTTCTAATAAACTATTTAGGGTACTACTACCTAGCTACTAAGCCCTAACTTAATAGCTACTAGGCCTAGCTACTATAAGATTTATTATTATTTAACTTTAAGATTACATATTAGCTTAAGAAGAATAAT